ACATTCAAATTTACATCTCCAACCTGGATCTCTCCTTTAAACACCAGACCTACTTGAGACCTCCACTTGGATGTATTATAGGCATCTCAATATGGCCAAAACCATTCCTGATACTCCCTGCCCAACTGCTCCTGCTGCTGCTCCCATCTCCGTTAACAGTAATTCTAGTTTACTAAATCTCAGATGAATGTTTTGGAGTTATCTTTGACTCCTCTTTTTATTTCACACCCATATTTAATGCATCAGCAAATCTGGATGGTTCTGCCTGCAAAATATATCCAGAATTCAACCACTGCTCACTACCCCCTCTGCCTCCATCCTGGCCCAAGCCACCATTATCTCTTGCTTGGTTTATTGCAATAGCCCCCTAATGGGTCTTCCTCCTATTTCGTTCCTACCTGCAGTGCCTTTTCAAAATTGTAGAGTGGTCCTGTTAAAATGAAAGTCAGATCATGTCACTCCTCTGTTTAACACCCTCCAATGGCTCCCATCCCTGGTAGAGGAAAAGCCTAAGTTTTTACTATGACCTACAAGGGCCTATTGGCAGATTAAAGATAGTCACAAATTATTTGACACTTTTCCCATTGAAAGGTATATTGCATCTCCCCTTCCATGACTTCTTTGACCAATGAAATATGGCAGAAGTGGCCAGTCACAGTGGCTCACATCTGTAATCCCAGCATTTTGGGAGGCCAAGGCAGGTGGGTCACCTGAGGTCAGGAGTTCAAGACCAGCCTGGCCAATGTGGCGAAACTCCGTCTCTACTAGAAATATGGCAGAAGTGCCACTATGTCTGTTTTTGTGCCCAGGCCTTAGGACTGGCATCTTCTATTCCTGTCTCTCGAATCACTTGCTCTTGGAACCTTGAGACACCATGTAAGAAACCTAGCTACTCTAATACAGACCACACGGCGGGGCCCTGAGACTACATGGAGAGGAAGAGGGCTAGCCTTCCAGCTATCTCCCCCAGGCACTAAAAATGAGAGTGAAACCACATGGAATCCTACAGACCAACCCATCTGCCAGTGAACATCAGAGTGACCTTATTTGATGCTAGTAGAGCAGAAAAGAATGCCCAGTTGAATTTTGTCCAAATTCCTGATCCACCAATTGTGAGATACAAAAAGGTGGTTGTTTTAAACCACAAAACTTGAGATAGTTTCTTATGCAGAGATAGAGAACCAAACTAGCTAATCCAACCTTGCCCCCTTCCATCATCTTCATGACCTCATTTACTGCCTTTTTCTTCCCTCACGCCTCTCTAGTCATCACTGCTTCCTTGCAGTTCCTCAAATCCTCCAGACCAGCTTCTGCCCAGGACTTTTGCATGTGCTGTTCCCAGTGTACATTCTTCCACCTGCACATAAATAAAGGAGTGTTAAACTGTAATACTGTTTTGAATCCTACTTTTTTCAGTTTATAATAAATCTTTCTCTTGGAATAGTCTACTAAAACCTTTTTTTTTTTTTTTTTTTTTTTTTTGAGACAGTGTCTCACTCTGTTGCCCAGGCTGGAGTACAGTGACACAATCATGGCTCACTGCAACCTCACCTCCTGAGTTCAAACAATCCTCCCTCTTTAGCCTCCTGAGTAACTGGAACTACTGGGGCACATCACCACGTCCAGTGAATTTTTAAAATTTTTTTGTAGACACAGGGTCTCACTATGTTGCCCAGGCTGGTCTCAAACTTCTGGGCTCAAGCGATCCTCCCACCTTAGCCTCCCAAAGTGCTGGAATTATAGTTGTGAGCCACTGTATGTGGCCTAAAACATTTTTTAGTGGATGCACAGTGTTCATTTGTGTGGATATTTGTTTTACCAACATTTAATTATGAAAACTTTCAAACATACAGAAAAATTGAGAGATTTGTACAGTGAAAACACATCTATTTGCCGCCTCAAGTCTATAGTCAACCTTTTCCTATATTTGCTTTATCACATATCTATTCCTCTATCCAACTTGCTCTTTAAAATACATTTCTTCTTATTCAACATAGTACTGGAAGTCCTAGCCCCAGTAATCAGTCAAGAGAAAGGGAAAAAGGTATCCAAATAGGAGGAGAGGAAGTCAAGCTATCTCTCTTTGCAGATGATTTTATACCCAGAAAACCCCATAGTCTCTGCCCAAAAGCTCCTAGATCTATAAACATCTTCAGCAAAGTTTCAGCATACAAAGTCAATGTACAAAAATCGGTAGCATTTCTATACACCAACAACAGTCAAGCTAAGAGCCAAATCATGAATGCAATCCTATTCATAATAACCACAAAAAAATACCTATTAATACAGCTAACCAAGGAGGTGAAAAATCTGTCCAACAAGAGTTATAAAACACTGCTGAAAGAAATCAGAGATGACACAAACAAATGGAAAAATATTCCATGCTCATGGACAGGAAGAATCAATAGTGTTAAAATGCTCATATTGCCCAAAGCAATTTGCAGATTCAATGCTATTCCTATCAAACTACCAAGGACATTTTCACAGAATTAGAAAAAAATTATTCTAAAATTCATATGGAACCAAAAGAGACCAAATAGCCAATGCAATCCTACATAAAAAGAACAAAGCTGAAGGCATCATACTACCTGACTTCTAACTATACTATAGGGTTACAGTAACCAAAATAGCATGGTAACAAAAACAGACACATAGACCAATGGAACAGGCTTAAGAACCCAAAAATAAAGCCACACACCTACAACTGTCTAATCTTCAACAAAGTCAACAAAAGCAATGGGGAAAGGACTCCCTAATCAATAAATGTTGCTGAGATAACTGACTAGCCACAATCGAAACTGGATCCCTTCCTTTCACTATATACAAACATCAACTCAAGATGGATTAAAGACTTAAATGTAAAACCTAAAACTATAAAAACTCTAGAAGAAAACATAGGAAATACCACTCTGAACATAGGCCCTGGAAAAGATTTCATGAGAAGACACCAGAAACAATTGTAACAACATCAAAAATTGATAAATGGGACCTAATTAAACTAAAGAGCTTCTGTATAGCAAAAGAAACTATCAACAGAGTAAGCAGATGACCTAGAGAATGGGAGAAATATCCACAAAAGTATAATATCCAGAATCTATAAGGAGCTTAAATCAATAAGCAAAAACAAACAACACCATTAAAAATGGACAAAGGACATGAACAGACACTTCTTAAAAGAAGACATACATGTGGAAAAACCATATGAAAAAATGTTCAACATCATTAATCACTAGAGAAATGCAAATCAAAATCATAATGAAATATCATCTCACATCCATCAGAATGGCTATTAAAAAGTTGCTGGGTACAGTGGCTCATGCCTGTAATACCAGCACTTTGGGGGTTGAGGTGGGAGGAGTTCAAGACCAGACTAGGCAACACAGTGAGACCCCATCTCTGTAAAAAAAAAAATTTTTTTTAACTTAGCTAGGTGTGGTGCCACGTGCCTGTGGTCCCAACTACTTGGGAGGCTGAGGTGGGAGGATCACTTGAACCTGGGAGGCAGAGGTTGCAGTGAGCCGCGATCATGCCATTGGACTCCAGCCTGGGAGACGGTGAGACTCTATCTCAAAAAAAAATTTTTTTAAAAGTAAAAAAATAACGTATGCTGATGATGTTGTGGAGAAAAGAAAATGTTTATACACTGGTGGGAATATAAACTAATTCAGCCACTGTTGAAAAGCAGTTCAGAGATTTCTCAAAGAACTTAAAACAGAGCTACCATTGGACCTAGCAATTTCATTACTGGGCATATACCCAAAGGATATAAGTTGTTCTGCTATAAAGACACATACATGCATATGTTCATTGCAGCACTATTCACAATATCAAAGACATGGAATCAACCTAAAGGCCCATCAAAAGAGGACTGGATAAAGAAAATGTAGTACACATACACCATGGAATACTATGCAGCTATAAAAAGAATGGGATCGTGTCCTTTGCAGCAACATGGATGGAGCTGGAAGCATTATCCCAAGTGAATATACACAGAAATAGAAAGCTAAATGCCACATATTCTCACTTATAAGTGGGAGCCAGGCTGGGTGCAGTGGCTCACGCCTGTAATCCCAGCACTTTGGGAGGCCAAGGCAGGTGGATCACGAGGTCAGGAGATCGAGACCATCCTGGCTAACACAGTGAAACCCCATGCCTACTAAAATTACAAAAAATTAGCCAGGTGTGGTGGCAGACACCTGTAGTCCCAGCTACTCGGGAGGCTGAGGCAGGAGAAAAGTGTGAACCCGGGAGGCAGAGCTTGCAGTGAGCCGAGATTGCGCACCACTGCACTCCGGCCTGGGCCGCAGAGCCAGACTCCGTCTCAAATAATAATAATAATAATAATAATAATAATAATAATAAAGTGGGAGCTAAACACTGAATACATGTGGACACAAAGAAGAGAACAAGACACTTGTTGAGTAAATAATAAAGTGGTTAAGGTATCTTGAGTGCATACCATGGGGCATATACTGTTCTTTGTGCGTGAGATAGATAGATAGATAGAGATGGAGATATATCTATATATAGAATGTGCCTTATGTGTATCATGCTACTTCAGTGGGTAAACAACCCTATGAGGCAGATAGTGCTACTGCCATTTATATTTTATGGAGGAAGAAATTGGGGCACAGAAAGGCTAAGTAACTTCTCTCAAGTCAACAGCTAGATAGTTGCAAAATTGGGATTTGAACCCAGGGTGTCTGGCTCTAGAGGCTGTCTTCGTAACACTACACTGCTTCCTACACCGAGGCAGCTCTTCTGTAAAATGTATTAAGCATAAGCTTCAGGGACTCTCCCTTGGCCGGGCCCCTCCTAAGGTCCTGGAAGGGGCCCTAGTCATGTGTTCAGAGGTTGTGTGCTTTTTCTAAAATTTGCAAGACCAGTATTTTTGTCCAAACTGGTTCAGACTACTGTCTGTTTCCACACCAGCTTCCCCTGTTACAATTCTCTTATGCTAGAGGGTGTTGAAACACTACAGCCATTTCTGGAATCAAGCAAAAATTGGGATAATATTTAATTTGGATTTACTAGGTGATGAGTTTCCTACGGCTGCCATAACAAATTACCACAAACTTGACGGCTTAAAACAACAGAAATTTCTCTCTCACAGTCCAGAATCACAGTGTTGACAGGGTTAGTTCTTTCTGGAAGCTCTGAGGGAAAATCTGTTCCATGCCACTCTCCTAGACCCTGGTGGTTGGCAGCAACCATTGGTATTTCTTGGCTTATAGATGGATCACTCCAATCCCTGCTTCTGTCTTCACATCACCTTCTCCTCTGTGGCTTTCTTGTCTGTCTCTAAAAAAGAATTTTTTTTTGATTAAAAAAATATATATATATATATTTTTTTGAGACAAAGTCTTGCTCTGTTGCCCAGGCTGGAGTGCAGTGGCCAGATCTCAGCTCACTGCAAGCTCCGCCTCTCAGGTTCACGCCATTCTCCTGCCTCAGTCTCCCGAGTAGCTGGGACTACAGGCGCCCGCCACCATGCCTAGCTAATTTTTTGTATTTTTTAGTAGAGACGGGGTTTCACCATGTTAGTCAGGGTGGTCTTGATCTCCTGACCTCGTATCCAACCATCTCAGCCTCCCAAAGTGCTGGGATTACAGGCTTGAGCCAACGCGCCCAGCCTAAAAAAATATTTTTAAAGACAACTGTCACTAGATTCAGGGTCCCACTCTAAAGCCAGGATGATCATATCTCAAGATAATTAAATTGACAAAAATATTTTACCAGGTAAGGTCACATTTGCACGTTCTACAGGTTAGGACACAAATGTATCTTTTTGGGAGGCCACCATTCAACCTATACAGTGAGCTCTAGTTGTATATTCTGCAAATGTTCCTATGTGTAGTTAATTATTGCTTGATATACTGGTATGAGAGTGTCTTCTAGGGATATGACCAGTGCCTACTCGCTTTGCCACCTGACCCAGCATCATGAGGCAATGTAGGATAAGAGGTTGTGTTGCAAAATGGATATGTCCTACAATGCCCAGCACCAGAAGTGTCTGCGTAAGAAAGGCAAACAAGGTTTGAAACGTGTGGAGCCAGACACTTATCTGTAGAAGGGTCTTTTAATTATTGGGTGTGTAAAATTGTATATGGAGAATTCAGTTCTCATACACAAAAATGGAACTTCTTACTTGTCAGGAATATATTCAGTTATGTCTTTAAGTCATACAGCTCATATATGGAAGAAACTTGGTAGTGGTTTCCCAAGCTAGATAACAATCTTAAACATTTATGTAACATTGTCAACGAGTTTTTGAAACCAAAACAAATTTTTTAAAGCTATGAATAATAATTTTTTAAAAACAAATTTTGATCGCCCATGCTAAAGGAAAGACTGAATTGTATTTCTAGTTCAAGATTCTGATATTATCAAACTGATATCATATGAAGACGTAATCACAGAGTATGAAGCCAAGAAATGTGTTTTTAAAAAAAAGTGTTATAGACCAGGTACAGTGGCTCATGCCTGTAATTCCAATACTTTGGGAGGCCAAGGCAGGAGGATCACATGAGTCCCCAGCCTGAGCAACACAGTGAGGCCCTGTCTCTACAAAAAAATTTTTTAATTATCCAGGTATGGTGGTGCACACCTGCAGCCCTAGCTACTCAGGAGGCTCAGATAGGAGGATTGCATTAGCCCAGAAGGTCGAGGCTGGAGTCATCTGTTATCGCAACACTGCATTCCAGGCTGGGCTAAAGAGCAAGATCCTGCTTCAAAAAAAATGAAAACCCAAAAAATATTATAGAGGGATACGCTAAGCAGTTAACCAATAAAAGAGGTTTTTTTCTGGATTTTGTGATGTTTGCAATATTTGTGAGCTTTATAGAATTTATAATTTGACATGATTTCTTTTCTTGTCCTAAATAAATATTCATTTTACTGCCTAATATTATACTCGTAATTTTATAATATCTTTCTTAAGAAGAGCCCTCTTGAATGTACAACCTTCAGTCCCCACAAAGCCTATTCTTTCACCTTCAAATAACATAGGCCCCACCCTCAAGGAATTCACAGTTGGAGCCTGCACAGATTACAGTAAAAGCATCATTCTGGGTAAGACTTCATTCCTTCAGGAAGTAATGCTGCCCTCTCTGCTTCATGCACCAGCACATCAGATAAACACTCTCCCAAGTCCAAAATAATTATATCTTTCCTTTTTTTTTTTTTAAACAGTAAAAAGAACATTTTTGCTTAACCTGTTTGAGGATAAGTTGCCAACATGGTGCCTCATTATTCAAGAATATTTTAGATGCATTTCCTACCACAAAGAATGTCTTAGTTCATTCAAGCTGCTATAACATAATAGCATAAACTGCGTGGCTTATAAATAACAGAAATTTGTTTCTCAAAATTCTGGAGGCTGGGAAGTCCAAAGTCAAGGTCCTGGCAGCTTTCTTGTCTCCTGAGGGCCCCATTCCTCATAGTCAGCTGTTTTCTCATTGTAAGCTTACTCACCTCCCAAGGGCCCCATTTTCTAGTATCATCAATTTGGGGGTTAGGATTTCAACAAATGAATTTGGGAACATAAACATTCAGTGCATTGCAAGGACTTTCTCCTACCAACCGCAATGTAATTAATGATCAAAACAAGAAATTGACTTTGAAATATGGAGGCTAAATCATCTACACATCTTATTCAATTTCACCAGTTGTCCCACTAATGCTATTTTTCAGTTCCTTGAACCAATCCAGGATCCCACATTGCACTTAGCTGTTAGGTCTCTTCATTGGTGATTTTAACCTTGATCACTTGATGAAGATGGTATGTGCTAGCTTCTCCACTGTAAAGTTACACTTTTTCCCTTGGCAAGATGCTTTGAAACTAAATAAATATCCCATTACTCATAAAATTTTGAATTAATTAATTTATTTTTATCAAATGGATTCATGGATTCCCATTTTATTTAATGTGTTATAATCTGTTACTATCTTTATTTCAATGCTCAAATTGTCCCAGATTTGGCCAATGGGAGCTCCTTCAAGCTAGTTTCTATGTCTTTTTGACAGAATAGATATTATTCTTTCAGCATTTCTTCATTTTCTGGCACAGTAAAGTATTCTAGGTTTATCTTAAATTTTTCCTTCCTTCAGGCCTAGAACCAACCATTTCTCCAAGAAGCCCTGGTTCCTGTTAGGAAAGAAAGGTATTTAGAAACTAAGATCTCGATGCTAGATATGCTCATTGCTATTGGGGTGTTGCTGTTCCTAGCCCCTCTCAGTGGACAGACCTAAGAAATATACTCCACACGCACACAGACACACACACTTCTATATCCATCTATGTATACTGAAAACTTTAAGTTCACACTAATACCTCTAATTCTAATCCAGTACTCCAGCATTCATTCTAGTTTCATCTCTTTCCATTTTGGTGGTGGGTGGGGGTGGATTTTTTGTTTTTTTGAAACAGGGGTTCTCTCTGTTATTCAAGCTGGAGTGCAGTGGCATGAACATGGCTCACTGCAGCCTTGATATCCTGGACTTAAGTCATCTTCCCACCTCAGCCTCCCAGGTAGCTGCAACTACAGGCATCTGCCATCCCACCCAGCTTGTTTTTATTTTTTGTAAAAATGGGGTTTTACCATGTTGCCCAGGCTGTTCTCGAACTCCTGGGCTCAAGTGATCCTCCTACCTCAGCCTCCCACAGTGCTGGGATTATGGGGATTAAGGTGTGAGCCACTGTGACTAGCCCATATTTTTAACTTCTTTCTCCAATAGTGAGAAACTTGGTTTCCATTTTCTTCAATCCGTTTCCTTACTATATAAATCCCTTTGCATGTTACTGATATTCTGTCACTACCACATTCCCTCCTTCCCAAAATTTCTATAAATGTTCTTCTAACTCCACTTGGGTTCTGACACCCTCTGCCAGGTCACCCCTGATGTCAAAGCTCTCCTCACTCCTTTGGGGCCTGACACCTGTGTCACATATGAACATTTTCTTTCCCTCTTGGTGCACCAACATACCACCCCAGACCACCTAACATGTAGATGTCCTTGTCCATCTTTCTGGGCTCTGACACCCTGTCCTGGATCGCCCTTCCATGGAGATGACCTCCTCACCCCATTCAGGCTCCTACATCCTATGCAGATGCTCTTCCCACCCCTATTCAGGCTTGGACATCCTCCACATCAAGCATCATAATAGTAATAAAATGTTGTAAGATATCCCCCTGATATGAGGACCAAGTCAAGAATATCACTATCATTACTTCTGTTTGATGTTATACTGGAATCTGAACTGAAAAGAAATAAAAGGCATAAGTGTGGAAGGGAGAAAATGAAATTGTTCATTATTAAGAGACTACATGACTCTGCATGCAGAAAGTAAAAAGTACTGGACAGAATGAACAAATGAGTTTAGCAAGGTCACTAGATACAAGGGTATTTTAATGATTAATTGTATTCTATATATGAGCAATAACAATTGGAATTGAAATTTTAAAGTATTATTGATATAACATCAAAAAAATTAAATACCCAGAAATAAATCCAGTGAAAGATATTCAAGATTCTACACATGAAACTAGCAAACATTACTGAGAAAAATTAAAGAAAATCTGAATAAATGGAGAAAAAATCATGCTAGTGAATTGCAAAATTCGAGTGTTAATTTTTCCCTAATTTATTAATACATTAAATGCAATCCTAACCAAAATCTTAGTAGGTATTCCAATGGAAATTGACAGACTAATTCTAAAATTTATATTGGGCTGGGCACAGTGGCTCATGCCAGCACTTTGGGAGGTAATCCCAGCATTTTGGGAAGCCGAGGCAGGCAGATCACTTAAGTCCAGGAGTTTGAGACCAGCTTAGCCAACATGGTAAAACCCTATCTCTACTAAAAACACAAAAATTAACCAGGCATGGTGGTGCACGCCTGTAATTCCAGCTACTAGGGAGGCTGAAGCACGAGACCTGCTTGAACTTGGGAGGTGGAGGCTGCAGTGAGCCAAGATGACGCCACTGCACTCCAGCCTAGGCGACAGATCAAGACCCTATCTCAAGAAAGGAAAAGAAAAGAAAAGAAAAACAAATTATGTGGAAATAAAAAAAAATTATGTGGAAATCAAAGAGTCACAATAACAAAGACAATCTTGAAGAAAAAGCATCTGGAAGCCTTATTTACTAGATATCAAGACTAACTATAAATCTATTATAATTAAAACAATGTGGTATTGGTCCAAGGATAGACAAGTAGAGCAGAAGAGAGAGTCTATGAATAGATCTCCAAATTTATGGGCACTTGATTTATAATAAAGGTATGTTCCAATGCCCCCAGG